CTTAAAGCTGTGACCCTTTAATACAATTCTTCATGTTGTGGTGACCCCCAACCATAAAATTATTCTCATTGCCACTTCATAACTGTAATTTTGCTACTGTTATGAATCGTAATGTAAATATCTGATATGCGACCCACAAAGGGGCCAAGACCCACAGTTTAACACTAGTTTAATCAATCAGACACACCTCTGAGATCATGGCATGAAGATCTAGACTACACCGTTGTTGAACAGACAGTGAATAAATGAAGCCAATGGGAAAGGAGAGGAAATCAACAGGGAATCAGCCTCACCAGAACCTTGGAGAGTTGGTACCAAGGAGCCCCTCATGGACAGCATCCATGATGCTCATGGTATCGAGCAACGGTAGCTTCTGCTACCATCCTTCAGCAGCCTCCCTGGCCTCAGCTTAACCCCCATCCCCAGGGACCCACTTTCTACATGGGCACTGAGCCCAGGGAAGCAAGTCTTCCAGCTTGTCTCCCGATACATCACAGGCATGTTCACCTGTGGCAGGCGAGTAGACGAAGCCCAAGTCCCTCACCTTTGCAGCTCCGTCCGTCCTCTTGCAGAATGTAGCCTTTCGGGCAGGAACACTGGTAACTCCCCTCTGTGTTTTTACAGATAAAATTGCAGGGATTGGGAGCCTGGTTGCACTCATTCAGATCTGTGATCAAAGAAAGACAGAGTAAAAGCCCATTTAGAAGATTTTTAGAATGCTCAGCATCTAGACCTATAAACTCTGTGAAGCATCTGATCATTGCCTCACAATTTTCTATTAAGTATAGATGCAGTTTAGATTTTTCAGTGTGGGGTTTTCTTTCCTGTAACCGGAAGTTTCAATCAGGAATAAAGCACTAAAAACAAAGCACCTACCTACACAGGCGGTCCCTGTGATATCCGGCGTGTAGCCAGTTTTGCAGATGCAATGATAGGACCCTCTGTCATTGACACACTCCCCGTTCCGGCAAACATCGTGAATAACCTTGCACTCATCAATATCTAGGGCAGATATAAATCACAATAATAAATACATTAAAATATATAACGGGCAACATTGATAAACAGGGGTCACTTGAATGTAAAGTTTCATAGATCATGTTACTATATCATGGACCAAAGTATTAAACCAAAAGGAGACAGAGCAAATGTCATAGGCGATGGTACTCATTGAACAGCTAATGAAGACTTTGTGAGCTGATGATGAGAAGCTACTCAAACAAAGGGAAAGGTTGACAATAATTGGTCATCGAAATTTGTGTTATTTTTCTCTTGGATTCCTAAAACAACACCCCACCGAGACATGTTTGGCCCTCTGCTCCATCTTGCATTCACTCTTGCCTCCTGCGGGCATCACATGAGCAAGTCACAGCAGAGGGCCATTTGGACAGGAAAGTCCAGTGTTCCTTTCTAATGTTGCCTGTTCAAAATAAGAAGGAATGCTCTCTAATACTCTCTTTGTCCTGTTTGAAGTTAATCCTGAAAAATATCAAATTACTCAACATGGGGTGGGTGGGGCAAATGGGATCAAGTTCCCTCTTTGAACGGAAATTAACCAGGAATCTGGGGTAGACGACAGGGCCGGGTTTTTGCAGTTGGCTACAAAGAGACATCCTTATTCCTGTCTCCATCACAGACAGAAAGGTTCGGTCAGTGTGCACTGATGGCATTAAAGCCACTCACCCCCACCTCTTGACCCAGCTAGCACGGGGCACCAACACAAGCAACTTGCCTGAGTTATTATCAGCCCTTCACTGCCTAATAATCATCTAGTATCAGCAGATGAGTGTGCCTGACCCTGTTCACCCTGAGGTCCAAGTAAGCACTTTGTCACTGGTCTCAGGAAATGCGTCTTCCACCATCTTGTTTCAGCCTCCTCCAAGAAGCAGGAATTGCTTCCGCTAACTCCATCTTCTCTGGCCCTTTCTTCCTTTACCTACCCAGTTCCTTCATCCTGCCATCAGCCACATCTTCCCAAACAAAGACAGTTGTTTCCTAACTCTCCTTTATTTTCTTGCTTCTAATCCCCGTCCCCAAGGAGCACAATGGAGCACCAATGGGAGCCTTTTCTCGGTCCTTCTATGAACTAAAATCTAACTGTGATCACTTTATAAAAGTGGGACTCACACGAGGCTGGCAGGTCTTCAGAGCTGCCTCAGACACCTCCCTGGCCTCCATTCACATCTAGCTTGCTAGTTGAAAGCAGCTTGTGCATTTCACACACAAGTGTGCTGATCCTAGGACACCAGCTGATTCCTAGCACACCAGCAGTCTTTTGCTTCTTTGACACAATACACCTCGGCTAATTTTGAGTGACAATGAATGCTGGCGGAGTAGAATGACCATTTGTTTCATGTTATTTTTAAAATTTGAAAATGATGTTTTATATCATCTATAAACTATCTTATAGCAGTTTTCTGCTGGACCCTTGCAATGCGGAGGCAAGGATCCAAACATACCAAACTTAGTCAACTAGGCCAAGGCCACTTGGCAAAAGGGCCCGAGTGTTTACAGCTCTAGAAGGATTTCTGTCACTCTCAGTCACCCAGACAAGACAAACCTACACTGTCAACTCCACGTTTCCATCGTTTCCCATAGTGAAATACACAGATTCCTTGCAACTAATTCTGCACCGTGAAAGAAGAGCCTGCATCTTTTGTCAACAACAGGAAAAAAGGAAGTACCTGCTCCATTGGTCATGAAGCCTCGGCCATGAGGACACAGTTTCTTGTAAGCCACAGTGGCCTCGAAAGGGCAGATCTCACACTGGGGTCCCCAGCCTCTCCCTCCATCACAGCAGCACTCGGACTTGGTGACGGGGTTCCTGTTGCTTGAGCCAATCTGGCACATGTTCTGTAGAACCTCTGTGAAGCAGTACCCTTCCCGGTTGTCTGCAAGAGACATCCCACGGCAAGGAGGAATTGAGAGACTTTCCTGAGTGCGTGTGGGGGGGGGGGGTTTAGGAATTTGGTTGGATATAAAAAGGGTGTAACACTTTACCCTGGGCGAAGAGGAGCAAGAAGGAAAAGCTGGAGACAGCAGGGAGAGAGAAAGGAGGCGTCTGAGGGAAACAAGACAAGAAATCCGTGAGTTGGCAGAAAGGCATCGGCAGAGACAAGCTTATAACTCTTTGTGTCCCCAGACCTATGGAAGAACAGTCGCAACAAGCCATGCTACAGCAAAGGGGGCAGGAAATCATACGGAGGTGGGCCTGATCACAAGGCTTTAAAAGGCAGCAAGAAGAACACCCCAAGCTAGCAATTCTGTGTGCAATTGGCAAAGGAAGAATTTTGTCGCGGGAAGGTCCTGAGCCCAACGGACACTCAGTCACTAAGTCATCTCCCAAGGAGGAATGTTTTCTCTTATTTCAAAGCAGAAATACTGTTTTCGAGTGTCCCAGCGTGGAGGTTGAGGGAAGGCAACAGCAGGGGCAGGCGGGTACTCACCCAGGCACTCATCCTGCGTGGGGCTGGCTGTGAAGCCATCGTTACACTCACAGGTGTAGCTCCCCAGGGTGTTGAGGCAACGCCCGTTCTCACAGATCCCGGGCTTGGTCTGACACTCATTCTCATCTGTGGAGACAGAGAACAGGAACCATCAGACATTTTATAGAAAGACTGTGTTTTTCTTGGTGCCTGCCTGCCTGCCTCCCTTCCTCCCTCTTTTTCTTCTCTCACTCTCTCAGTTTACTTTGCAAACAGGTAACCTATTTACCTGGTTAAAAACTGGAAATCCAGGAAAGGCCAGGAAGAAGGGCCATCAAGTTCTCCTTTTCCTCTGTATTCCTCAGCCACCAAATAACGAGCACCCCCCAACCCCACCCCTGCCCCTGACTGCCAATTTCTGACGTGCCCTTCCAGAGATAGATTCTGCACATAAAAGTACACACACACACACACACACACACACACACACACACACACACACACACACAGTTCTTGTAAGGCATCCATGAGCATATTGTTGATACATCTGAAGTCACACAGCAGCATTTTAGGCACACTTACATTTTAACTTAACCCTTGCCCTATCTGTACATAGAGAAGATTCCTGAAAGGTGAGTAGACACAGCGGAGGGGCCACTGAAGCTGGATTGTCATTTTAAAGAGATCTAGGACTTCATCAGAATAATGTCAGGAAGTTGTGCTGACCCAGGAGCCTTTGTCTGGATTGATCTTCAGCTTCCACGGAGCTTGTTTGTAACACTTGAGCAATATTATTGAGAAATGATGAGCCATAATTTAATAACCCCGATTAAAAATAAAACACTAAAATAGCTGGAGTATCTTTGGATGATCTGGTAGTTGTTCAGAGCTGAAGATCATGAACTAACTCCCCCGGTGTCTCTTCCATTTGAGAACAGCTTACGGTCCCGAGCGCAGGGATCTCGCTGACAAGAGGCCGAGAATGCGGAAATGACACCAGAGCTGTGTGATAACTGCTTACAAACCCCAACGCTCAGCCAATCCTGAGGGCACAGGCTTGGGAGGCTGCGGTGTGAGGACAGAAAATCAAAGGCTCTAGGGGGACCCCAAGGCCAGGTAAACTCTATCGTGGAATAAAAACCAAAATGGCCCGGGCATGTAGTTTAGTCTACAGCATTTTCCTAGCACATGGAAAGCCGTAGGTTCAACCCCCAGAATGGAAACAAACAAAAGTCCCACTGCCCATGCTGACCTCAGACCAAAGGAATCTGAATGTGTGAGGGGAGGCCCACCTCCTCTGGAAGCTCAAACTGCAGCTGGGCCTGCCACCTATGGACCTGGAGGGTTCAGTATGTGACCACTGGGCCCCAATTGGTTCCTCTGAGCTTTCAGAGTCTGCTCTTAAAATTACCATTCAGTTATGTATCTTAGAGAATACCAAGACAATGGGAAACAATCTTTTTGTCACTGACAACATAAAATATATCTTTTGATGTCATTTACTTCTAAAAGTACACGTGAGAACGTCCTATTTTCTCCTATATTTGCTGTCTCAAGCAAATGCTAAGAAACCTTTTTAGAAGAGGTTGGATGGTAAATATGTTAGGCTCTATAAGCCCTATGGTCTCTTCTGCAACTACCTGATTACCTCTGTGGCATAGAAACAACCACTATGACACGCTCATGGTTTGCTAAAAGTGTGTTTTAATAAAACTTTATTCACAAAAGAAGTGGCAGTTTGCCATTCCCCAGTCTAAGGTTGTGAGTCTCAATACAGGATACACATTAGTATCACCCAGGGAGCTTTTAAATACCCATGCTTGGACCCACCTCAAGGTAAGAGCAGATTTCTTCAAGTTAGAGCCCCTGGCTTAGAGACAGTCCTGGTTCAGAGGGCTCTAGCACAGGATGTCAGTAAGGCAATTTGAGTCAACAGTAGTGAGGGCAATCAGTGGAAAGAGCTATCTCCTGATGGTCACATGCACGAAAGGGCAAGGGTCAAAAGTGGGTGACCCAACCCTGGCATCAATACAGGCCAAGAGAATAGGGGAAGGCCAGCCTAGAGGAGAGGACAGCAAGGCCTCTCCAGCATGGGCTATGAGATGAGGCAAAGACCCAGAGTTCAGGTCACTTCTGGCCTCTCTTACTTCAAGTTCATAATGAGTCATTTGTACAGAGATAATCTTACCGACACAGCCCTCTCCATCAGGCCTTCGCTGGTACCCAGGGCCACAGATGCACATGTAGGTGCCTATGAGGTTCTTGCACTCCATTTGCTTTTCAGTACAGTCATGTTTTCCCTCTGCACACTCATCCTCATCTGGAAAGAATGCATAATCACAACTTACAAACAAGCGGCATTGGATGCTTGCCCTTTAAATCCAAGATGATTATCTCTGTTATTTTAACACTGAGCTTATTTCCTTTGGCATCTGTTGGGCATTGATATATTAAAAATGGGAGGGAATATTCTAACCACCTTTGAACTTGGTGAAGAAAATGCTTCCTGACAGCCGATGGCCTCATCAGAAGCATGATGCTCTATGCAGGCCCTTTCTGGATTCCCTTGCTTTATGTTTCATACTTGCTTGTTGAAGCATTTAAATTCTTATGACTAAATAGAGTAAAAGGGCCCTACGTTATTTATAATACAATGTTATTTCATAACAATGATAAAAGTATTAAAACTGCAGTGTGATAACATAATGATGTTATGTGTTATAAATATCATGGGTTATAATAACAAAACAAACGTGTTACATAATAATTATTATGATGCAATATATTATATGGTATTATTTTAATATGGTAGTGTTAACTAATCTAATTAGTATAATACAATATCAGAAGAGTCATTGTGTAAGTGAAGCTTTAGTTTTAATTTGAGGAAAAGACAAGAGTTCCTGAGCATCTTAATCTCCATCTGAGTTCTAAGAGAGCATCTAAGCTTTCCCACCTTCATTCCCATCACTTTGGATTGGTTGTACTCTCTCTCTCTCTGATTTTAGTAACATTGCACTCCCCTCTTCCTTCTTCCTTCCACATTCTAAGCTCAGGTACTTGGACTTGATTCTGCATGGTGAGGCGCTCTCAGGTAGGGGAGCTTCCACTTCATACAAAACTGGACTTTAGCCATTTTGAGAGACAAGATGTCTGCTCATTAAAAGAGCAGGTCTGGATTCTTCAAGAATAACCAGTTTCCATGATTCAGCCTGGTCCCATGCTCTGGAGATTGCCAGTGTTCAGTAAGACTTTTTAACGAAAATGCTTATGTTAAAGAACATAGGCTTGTCCCCCATTTTTGAGATGAAGTATCTCTTTCTTCCCTTCGGTTCTCAGATACCTGTTATGTTATATCCTCTGAGCATTTTGTTCTTTTGTTTTTTAAGATTTCTTTTTATTAATGTGTATGTATGTATCTACATCCAGGTACCCTTAAATCCCAGAAGAGGATGTCAGCTCTCCTGGAGCTGGAGTTACAGGCAGTTGAGAGCTGCCTGATGAGAGTGTTAGGACTGAATTCGGTCCTCTGTGAGAGCAGGAAGCACACTCAATCGCTGAGTCATCTCTCCAGCCTCTCTCAGAACATTTGGTTTATACAACTCTCATCATATTTATGATACTAGGATTATTTATTTATATTTTCATCTTTTGTATCTACTTCTACATATTGAGCTCTGAGGATACTGGAAACTATCTTTGTACAGAGAATATGTACAACTTCATAGGATGACTGACATATCATAGACATAAAATACATAGCAAACTCATGCAAGGTCTGCAGTGCAGCCCTCACTGGGCCTATTGTGCCTCTTGTTAGAATCTAGGGGCAAAGGAAGAAATGGCAGCCCTTACATTTGCTATGGATTAGGAGACTACACTCATTTCCCAGCCCTGGTCTACCAAGGGAAGCTTTGGGACATCTGCCCTCGTGCACAGAGACAGAATGTTCTGGCTTGAATGAGCTCTAACAGGACCCTCACCTTTGCACATCCTCCTGTCTTCTCGCAGAACGTATCCAACAGGGCATTTGCATTCATAGGACCCATAGGTATTTACACACCGGAAGGCACAGAGTAGAGGGTTCTGGGCACATTCATTTATATCTGCAGTAAAAGAAAGTAAAATAGTTGATCAATGACACCAAAAATGACAGAAAGAGAGAAATGTACTTTTCTTAGAAGTTGGAAGTCTTCCTTTCCAGAAAGTTATAAAAATGTGTTGATTATTTTATTTTTGGCGCAAATATGGTGGCTATATGTCTGCATCTCTCAGCATTGCTCCCAAGCTTATTGTCCTGATGCAATTATGAATTTGCATGGATGAGAAACAAAAGGTCCACCTTGCATACTTGGAAGGCTCAGGTTGACCAGTTGCTTCTTCCTTTGTACATGGACTATGGATCACCTTTGCTTCCTTCAACTAAAGCAATTATGGTCAGAAGAGAAGCTGAGTCCTCTAATACTCTTAGCCACTTTGCCTTCCCCAAACAAAGGTTTCTATGGGACAGCAGGGATTCTTCTGCCCAAACAGAGTGTTCTGGTGATTATATACTTAGAGAAATGCAGTTTACACAGATGCCCAGGTTCTAGCCCTGATTAAAGAATGGCTTTACCTTTACTGGGCAAAATTACTCTTCTAGAATTCATGGTATAGAAATATCAGGATGCATTTTCTAAAAGTAAGAGGGTGAAAACAAACCACCCCAATAATCATGTTTCTTCCCAAGAACAATGATGTGGATGGAGAAGAGGACTGAATATCCAGGTCACAGTTTATTCACAACTTCTAAAGGCTCACACCTCTCTGGGGAAGGGCTCCCTTCAGCACCAATGTTCCCCTCCATTCTTCTCTTACCCCAGTGACCCTCACCTTGAAGAGCACATGGGTCTTCTGGGCAGCTGCTGGGCCCTACTTTTAGAGTTTGTGATTCACTGATCTAGAATGAGGCCAGAAAGTTTGCATTCCTCACAATTTCCCGGGGGAGGGGAGCGTGCTAAGGCAAGTTGTCTAGGGACCAACCACTCTTTGGCATTCTCTAGCCTTTCCTTCTTTTCCATACTCCCTTCTAGGCAGTCATACTGACAAATAATTTTCAGATGCTTCAGTGGGTTTGGCAACCTCTCCCTGGGATTGCCTCCAGACGACCACAGGACATCAGTGGTTATCTAGCTCTGTGTGCAGATGTTTCTAAAAAGAGAAAAGGACAACACAAAAGAAGAGGAAAAAAACCCTTGGAAACAACAACAACAAAGAGAGGAGATAGAAAATAAGACAGAAGGTGGTGAAATGTAAGCAACAGAGACACACTGGGAAGCACCCTGTATAGACAGTATTTTTGTCAATAGCCAACTATTTTTTTTTTATACTTCCTGCAAAGATGAGGCCACACAGAGAAGAAATGATGCTAGGCTCAGATGTTCTTGATTCTTAATTAATTATGAAAGCTATTTGATTAAGAACTATAGTCAAGCAACGGTTCCCATGATCAGCATAGGCAACCAAGTCTTCTGTACTGGAGGTACTTGCCTTCACATGTCATCATTGGACCGGGCTCAAATCCCTCCTCACAGGTACACTCAAAACCTCCGATCACATTCTTGCAGGTCCCATTTCCACAAGGATTGCCCACGGAACATTCATCAGTATCTGCAAGTGATCCAAGTGGAGATAAAATGAGTGGAGACAAAATGGTCTCAGGTATCACTTTTCATTCTGTCCTCGTTCCTGGATCTGCATCATCTTGCTTAGTTCTCCCGTTCTTGCCAGGAGGGAGTGCACATGCCTTCTGATCACAGGTTCATACCTGGAGTTGCCCTTGTTCAATGGCAGAGACAATAAGAGAGCTGAATGTCTAGCCCTTATATTTCCCAATGTGGTTTTCTGCAGCCTGGCCTTATGAAGAAGTGCATCTTTCACTGGGAGTAGATGCTCTGATGACTAGAATAAAGTTCCTACATGCAGCCAGGGGTTTCTGCTGTTTTGAAGACAAAAATCTCCAACTGTCCCCATATTACATCACTGCACAAGAAGGCTTACATACAATGGAGTCTCGCCAGATATAAAATAGAAGACTAAACTTACGCAAAATAAGAGACCTAAGGTTAAATAGAATTAATATACTGGATAAAAACCAACATTCAAGTAGATTTTGTTGAATCTGTTAAAACCAGATGTTTTACATTAGACAGAAAAAAAGGCTAGGGAAAAAAAAAAGAAAATATGTTTAGGCCATGACCTTTCTAAACAACTGTGGAGAGAGAACACATTTTACAAAAAAAAAAAAATCTCTAAAAAATACAGATGTCTTCTATCCCATCCACCTGGAACATCCACTGTTCTTATTCCTGACTCGGGCCTTAGGGAGAACATTTTCCCTTGGGAAAGGAAGAGACATATTTTTAGAAACAGCACTGCTATTTTAGATATCTGAAAACCAGGAAAATAGTGAGCTCTTGGTAAGGGTTACTTCTAGGCAAGGAGGCTCTTTTTGCACATACACAGCAGCAAACTGAAGATTCCAAAAAGGTAACACTGATAAAATTTGTTTCTGTTTTGCTACTAAACCACACTTTAGGGCCAAGAATACTGTGTCTCCTTTGATTTCATAAAGAACGACAGTGTCATTGCAGTTTAGAGCTGCCAGTATAATGTGAAGCAAATGACTTCATTTGCACAATGACACAGTCAAGGGTGGGAGAGGGTGGCTACGACACTCAGGTTCCCGCCCTCAGCCTGCACGGCAGTCTTCAGACCTCCACTCCTTATGTGAAGACAGTATGTTTTAATTTGCACAGACAGACATTCAGTGTTGACATCACACTTAATCTATATTACGGCAACATCGCTTTAGAGTCCTTGTCTATAACACTTGAATCTAGCTTACAGTCAATGTAGTTAAGAGTCAATGGTCCATATAGGAGCCATACTTGGACATTTTAATGAAAAGTCTGAAACAAGAAACTGAATGGGGTGGGTGGTCTTTCATACTGCCAAATATGCAAGATGCATTTAAAATTTGTATTTCTACATATTAGAAGTATAAATTATGGCCACTGACAGTGCATTTTTTATTGTCCTAAGACTTCTGTTTACTGTTGTCCTTTTCAGTATCTCTTAGGACATGTCTATTATCTGCTGTCCAAGTTAGACTACAAGGGCCATGCAAGGAAGGACTGTCCTTGCTTGGTTCACTGCGGTAGCTCTCTGCCTAGCACAGGGTAGGGTCCAGCTAACCATCTAATTGAAGAATTCCTCAACGGAGGAACAAAACTAGACTTCCACCTTGGTAGAGTAAAAGCCAAGTAGCTCAATTCTTACATAGTATAATTCCAAAGGAAGAGGATGAGCCACTACTCACCCACACATTCATTCCCTTCTAGAATGTAACCGAAGGGACACTCGCAGCGATAGGAACCATCTGTGTTGATACACTGTCCATGTTTACAGACATCAGGCTCTTTGCATTCATCCATATCTTAAGGGGAGGAAGAAAAAAAAACAGTGAAAAACGAGGTATTTTTCTTAAACTATTATTGTCAGTTCGGTTTGTTCACTCGGTGAATATCTAATATCACAATACAGCTATCGTCCAAGAGGTGTTAACAACAACTAGAAGAGATTACTCCTCCCAGGTAGATGTGGAGAAATAAGACCTGGAGGCAGGACAAAGAAGAGGCAGGGAGGACCTAGCGTGGAGCACTCACCAACTGCTGAGTCATCAGGGCCCACGATGATCCCACTTCCGAAGGGGCAGATCTGGCGGAAAGCCTCTGTGGTGGAGACATGCACTCATTAGTGGGCAGACCAGGGCCAATCACTGGCTTCCTACCCCCCATCCATTGTGTAGTTTGGCCACATGCTGCACACACTGAGAGATTGAATAGGACACCCAGAAACAAGGAGATATTACCAAGACTCCAAATGATGTGCCTATTCTTCATCTGACTGATTTGCAACATAATTAAAAAAAAGAAAATAACTACCAGGCTCCTTTGATAAAAATATGTCTAACAGACATTCTGATTACACTTGGAATTTGATGATCCTATTGCCTTAAAGGCTTACACTGTTATTCATTTCATGGTCCTATGTACATGGGATCACGCAATGAGAAACAAGGGTGTTTGACTCACCATCTGGCTCAGTGGGGCACAACTCACAAGGGTCTCCCCAGCCTTCTCCCTTCAAAGCACAGCAGCACTCCTGCTTGGAATGGTTTCTGGATTTGGGTGATGAACACTTTCCACCTTCAAACTTCGCATAACAGTAGCTCATTCGCAGATCTGCAATGCACATCCACAGCACACTTCAGTTGCTTTCCTACTGAACCTCCATTGTATGACAGCGGGTCAACGCACGCTCTCATTAACCATAGCTGTATTCCATAAGTGGCTGGAATTACGAAAGAGCCAAGACTGTTAATGTCACAGGGAACCAACAGTGGGATAGGATGGACAAATTTATGTTGCTTTATCCTTATTCCTCGGTTTACCCACTACTTCAAAGTAAACTGATATGAATACTACAACCACGTCAGTCTTAACAGTAATGACGACTTCAGGACGGGAACATCCCCAGATAGAATGACTCATGAAGAAGTCCCTGCACGATGGCTTTTCTGGTATGGATTTTATACAACTTTCAGCAAGCAGACTAAGGCAGGAGAGCCTCCTAGTCCTAAGACATATCGTCATTCCGTATCCAATACACCCCAGAGCCAAAGAAAACCCCACACCACAGCACAGAACAAACGAAGAAGTGCTAAGTGTGTGGACTGGCCAACTGTGCCACCAGCGAGCATTCGCTGAAGTAGCTACCCATGGAATTATGAAAACGAAACTCAAGTGGGACTTTTCTGCAGACTTTACACTCATGCGCACAGCTCCATCAAAATTAAATTTCCAGTCGGAACGTGTTTAATGCCCTAGAAAGAAGAAAAAGGAAGGCAGGAGGCAGGGTTATGGGTGGGTGCAGGCAGAGTCACCTTCCTTTCAAAGAATATGTGCATTGCTTTATATTCATTACTGCTCTGGCAACACCAGGGAAGAGGAGGGCTCTTTCTTATGAAATGCTCCAATGTCGCATGACATAACTCTGGAAGCTGACTTCTCCAGTGCTTACAGAACAGACTGAGTAGCTCTGAGCAGTGAGCTCATCTAGGGGTCTGGAATGTGTCTTCTTCTTCAAACTTGACTTCCAGAGCCTTGCACAGCTCCTCCTTCAGTACACGGTGGCTAAAATCTGCAGGTCTGAGGACAGGCTCCTGCACCCGTTTGTACCATTCCTTTTTTCTTTAGTTTTGACCACCTCTGACTTCTGCATTCTCTCCCATCAGTTTTTCATCCCAGAAAGCATCCTCTCATAGCAGTGCTGGCCACCAAGTATTTCCTTTGTGGAGGAATGTCAAGATTCAACTAGTGCTCGTTTCTTGGGGACACCCTTTTCATGTGCTTTATTCTTGCAGTTCTTTGTCATGGCCATTGTTCCGCATAAACAATGTTGTTTTTACCACGTCTTCCTACAACTGTCCTTGGACTGCTGGCCTTACTCTAAACCCAGTTTCATCTCCTCCACCACTCTCCTCTGCACCAAAAGAAAATAAATATCCTGGATTCAGATGGAGACTCAAATGCATGAAGTCCCAGGTCCATCAAAATGACAGATTCCTTCCCCTGAATCTTGCAGGTAAGACTCTTACTTTTTAATGCGGTGTTGAGCACCAGAGTCTGCTCCCTGAGTACAGTGACATTTGGTGCGGCAAAACCCCCAATCAGTTGTTCTGTGGAACTCTCTCACTTTAGGGCTAATAGAAGCCTGATTCCTTACAAGAAAAAATTGTCACCTTACAAGAAAAATCCCGGTTTCGAATTTTCAGGTTCCAGCAGAACCTGCACTGAGCAGGGGACTTGCTTTCTTTCCATCATGTTGATCCTCTAGGTGAGCTTATCACTCAAAGGTGCCCTCCATGGAGAAACAGCTCTGTGCTCGCAGGAACACTCCAGCCAGCGCTCACTGGGATGCCGGTTACCCGTCCATCTGCAAACAAGCCTTTTCTGACCTCTGAGATTTCTTTGGAATTATGAAAGTCCCCGCTTGCATTCCTCAGTTCTGGCCGAGTATGTGGCAGGGTTCTCGCAGCTGGCCTGGTTCTGCCTGCGATGTTAGCTTGCCCTGTGACAGGCCAGTGCAAATTGAATTAATAGCCCTGGAGTTTCCCCTGGCTTGCCACATCAGCAGACTCGCACCTGGCTTCTCACTGCTTTCTTTCCAAGTGCAGGCCAAGCCAAAGACACAAACGAGGGGGCAGGAGTCAGGCTGGATCTGGACTGGCCTGTAGCAGACAGGCAGTTTACCTATTGAATACAGCTGTACCCCAACCACCATTCTGAAGTCTTACGGTCTTCTAATAGTGCACTACGAGATCAAATTGACCGGGGAATTTGCGACTTTCCCCTTCATACTTCTGCAATGATCAAGTGAAAAAGTAAAACCATAACCAGACAGAATAATAATAACAACAACACCGGGGGGTGGGGGTGGCGCATGCCTTTAATCCCAGCACTCGGAGGCAGAGGCAGGCGGATCTCTGTGAGTTCAAGGCCAGCCTGGTCTACAGAGTGAGTTCCAGGATAGGCACTAAAACTACTTGGAGAAACCCCATCTCGAAAAACAAACATGCAAGCAAACAAAAAAATGACAAGTGTTCACAGGAGATGCAGAGACAATAAAACTTGGTGGTGCACACAGGAGGATTGCTTGGGTGGGTACTGGTATGTCTTGGGGGAGCAAACTGCATTTCTACACCATTAAATGGCTTCTCTGGGCTAAAACTTGGCAGGCCTAGAACCCCAAAGCCTTGTTTTAGAATTTCAAATTATATCCTAAACCTATTATTTGGTGACACGAAGCAAACCACACACACAAAACAAACAAACAAATAAAAGCACAAAGCAACATATGGACACTGACAGAAATTCTAAATGTAAATATTTATGGGCCTTCCCCACCCTATAATTCACTGAACTAGTTTGTATAAGTAGAGCCAAATAACAATGGTATTGTTTAGGAATGTCTAAACAAGTTTCTGGGTTTTAACCAAACATTGTTTTGTGTTTACTTTCAGAGTCCTTTAAAGTTTTTTTTTTCCTTTTATTTTAAAGCTAATCTGGCAAGCCCTTGAATATTTTTGCCACTGACAAGTGTTATTCTGTTTCCCCAGAGAATCTGTGAGGTAAAGATGGGCATCTTTCTCTGGGGACAGGTTATCAGTTTGCATATTCTCTGTCTGAGGGTCTCGGTTTGCACCCACGTTCATGTAGACTGCAGCTTTCTCTCGCTGATCTCCAGGTTTTGGGGTGTCGGTGACTCTTGAGGACACCCTGCCAAGAAGCCTGTGAGCATCTGTGCTCGGAGGAGGGAGAGGGCTGCAAGTGCCAGGGAAGTTGTATAAGCGACTGAAACTTGATGGATGAGTTTTTAACCTCAAAAGTAAAAATGAACCTTTGGGCATATGGAAACCATTAGACCTGTGGGTGAATGAAACATCTTCCCGTTCACGAAGAGTCAGAGCTTTGCCATGTTTAAAACATAAGACCACAACAAATAAACACAGAATAATGAAAGTCCGAAGCTTTCCGAGGCATTTACCTTGGCACCTTCTTCCAGTTGAGGAGAGGGAGAACCCTTCTGGACACAGACATTTGAAGCTTCCCTCGGTGTTGCTACAGGTTCCCAAGGCACAGATTTCGGGTTCTTCAACACACTCATCGATATCTAAAAGAGTTATACATGTCAGAGTCAGAACGTCATGGAGACCCCATTACTCACCAAATTGAAAACGTACATGTTCAGTGTTTGGGTGGTTTCAGAACCCTTCCAACAGGGACGCGATTGCCTGTGATACTATTTTAAAGTGGATTTTTAGAAGGTACTTTGGACAGATCTTGATGTAAAATAGAATCTGTAATAACCTTCTAAGAGTTGTAATAACCAACCCCTTAATTGTGGAGGTGCAGAGCCAGTCACAGAAATGACAAATCCCTTACTCATGGAGGTGTGCACAACCAATCAGAGATGTTGCACCAACTCCACACCACATTAACCTGGGAGAGAGGTCAGAACTCCAACACCCTGCCTCATCATTGGACAGCACAAGTCCATGGCTGATCTCAGTGTAAGCTGATTTCCCTCCACTCACTGATGGAGTCTTCCCCAACACTCCAAGCTGCAGCTTCCCCAACACCCCAAGCTGCAGCCTTAAAAACATTAATAGCCATATAAATAAGCACAATCCCATCCAAGATGACTCTGATCTGCAAGATAGTTTTTCTGAAGATGTGAAAATCCCTTTCTTGTATAGACCAGGGCTATTCCTTCATCACAGAGCTACTAGAAAGGGAGACATATGAATTAAGGGCTCTTTTCTTCAGCACTAAGTACATCCTATCACTGTAAGGGGTAACCCACTGAGAATTCAGAGTGGCTTGGGCAACCAATGTGTCCTAAGAGTTTTCCCAAGAGACTCCTAGCCTGTGTACGTTGGCCTGACTGTGTAATTACATATCCCCTTTCTCTTTCAAAGTTATCTCGGTTTAGTGAGTAAGTTACATGATCGTTCTACTTTTGGGAAAAGCATAACCACTCTACTGTAACAAACCCACCCATTTCCTGTGATTTTCAGCCAGAATTCATAGTGAAGGAAGGGACTAGTCTTAAATGTGGGCTGTACTGTCTTAGTTAAAATTTTTTCCAAATATATTAAACATCTCTTGGGTCATGGAACTCTTGTGCTTCAGATCTGTGCAGTTCTGCTTACACCAAGATGTATTTACATGACTTTGTTCTCAAAAGGCCCACCTGAGGGCAAGTCCAGAAACTAACTCCCTTACCTTGCCCTACTATTGTAACTACCATCCATGAGATTTTTCTAGAAATAAGCAATCCAAACGATTATTTTCTTGCACAATGCAAAACCAGCCTCCTCATCACTCCATGTTGTAGTGTATATTTTTAAATGTCGTTTTTTTTTTTTGGTTTATTAATGAGTTTAAACTTTTCTTCATTGAATCACTTCATCCTTAAACTCCTTCTGCCACTCCCTCTACCCTTTCCTTTAAAAAAGGCACCTTTTGGAAAAATGCTCAAATATTTCCTTTTGTAGGTTATTTTTATTGTTATCATGAATCTTTTGTTATTACATATATATTTGCATATGTATATACATATAGTGTACATGCATGTATATATGTGTGTGTGGGGGGTCCATACAGACATGTGTGTACATATGTATATGTTGAGGCCAGGTTGATATTGAATGACTTCCTAGATCATTCTGCATTTTATTTACTGAGATAGGCTCTCTCAGTTGAACTTACAGCATGCTGGTGTGTCTAGTCTACTGGCCAGCTTGTTCCAGGCATCCCCTGTCTCTATCTCCCAAGTGCTGGGATTACAGGATGGTCACCACACTCACCTGGCATTGATGTGGTACTAGATTCAAACTCAGGTCCACACGCTTGTGCCGAGACACCTCCCAACCCTATTTCTTTTTCTTATATTAAAAATTAGCCAGTAGGTACCATGTTCTTAATAATAGGTTCAGATGTTGTAGAATGGGCATATATACTGATCATCTGGGGAGTTCTTTTCATTTTTCTCTAGCTCTATTCTAGTTATTTTGGGGAACTTATGCATGATTATGAAGTAAATTAAATCTGTCATGAAGAAAGGCAGAACAAGTACATGTGAGATAGCACAGAGGGTAAACGTCCTTGCCATCATGACTTGAGTGTGGACCTGAAGCCCCACATGCAGAAGGAGAGCACTGACTCCCAGGTGTTGTAGTCTGACACCCACTACACACACATACACAAGCACATGCACACACTCATGCACACCTACACACAGAAATAGATAAAATTAAGTGGTTTTTTTCTTTAAAAAAAAAAAAGTGGCTAGAGAGGCAAGTTAGCAGTTAAGAGCACTGGCTGCTCTTCTAAGAGGAAGCCTGGTTTGATTTCCAGCATCCACATGGTGGTTCAAAACCATCTCCAATTCCAAGAGACCTGGTGCTCTCTTCTGCCTTTTATGGCACCAGGCATGTTCGTGTGCACAGACATGCATGCTGGCAAAACACCCATTATATAAAATAAACACTTTTCAAAAAAAAATTTCAACAACTCTTTTAGACTTCATTTTGATAAAATGTTTTTGCTTAAAATATCACCACTGAAAGGTGGTATAAATTGGATTTGTAATAAAATTTCTCACTGACAGTATTAAAAGTAGAGAAAACCAACCCATTGTAATCACTGGCAGACCTGTTTAAAGGTAGGGCTGTGAACTATGTGACTTCTTGAGAATCCATACAACCTTATTTATTTATGAAGTTCCTGTAATGACTATCCTTCACTTAATGAGAAGGAATCTGTGCTGAGAGCAGAGAAATGGAATGTCCTGTAAAATCTGCTGAGAATCTATTCCCTAAACACATTCTACATCTACAACTGGAGAAATCACAGACAAACTATACAACCGCTTAAACCCAACCTAAGGAGCCTAAGTGGATGTGGGAGCTGTTTTCAGTTGTCAACTATGGCCACTTAAAATCATCAAATTCAGGAACACCATCAATGGGAAAGAGCCAGGGTCACCAAAGCAGCCTGTGCATGGAGAAAACTCACACCCACAGTGATCAGGACAAGAACTAGCTGCTCCTGTCTCAACAGAGGATGAGGTCATAAGTCATAGCCTCTGACTTAGATTTTAAAAAATAAATATAAAAGTATTCCAAACTGAAACGGCCATTGCAGAAATTTGTGACGTCAGCGATTCTAGTGCAATGCCCCAATCCTCCTCATTTATGATCAGCAGTCCCTTACCTTCACATTTGTCCTGCTGTAGACTATACCCAGGCGGGCAAATGCATCGGTAGGAGCCATCCAAGTTCTGACAGGTTCCAGGCGCACATTTCCCAGGATCCAGAGCACATTCATTGATATCTGCAGACAAAACAAAGCCGGAGAGAGGCTTCTGCTGGTATGATTTCCATCAAACAGCACAAACTCGTCAAAGGAACCGGAGTCAAACCAGAGAAAGCACACAGCTCCTGAAGAGCCACAAAAGTCTCCCAAGGAGAAAGCAATTGCTTTAAAAGCTTTCCAAAGTGTGCGATACAGCCAATGTCATTCTATCTGCCACAAACTAAGTATTCCAAGAAAAATGTAGTGTGTGAAAGGGGTTTTAAAAGATACTTAGAAGATTCTGTGAACTTACCTCTGGAGAGGTATTCTGAGCTAAATATAATGAATCACAGCTATTATGTGTAACAATCAACAGTTAAAATGTTTTCCGTGACTATAATCTAATTTTAAAACAAGAGGGGAAATGATATATGTATGTATTTTTTTAAATTAAAAAAATAAAGTCTTGACAGGTAAGATTACTGTAATCTTACAGTGATTTTTTTTTTTTCTCTAGCTGCCCATAGCAGGATTAGAACAGACACTGCCTGATTCTGTGTTGGGCCTCTGGGGACATTTTCTCAGGGACTATTTTCCTGCCTTTTTTTTTTTTTTTAATTTGAGGATTTCACAAGTACAATGTATTTGCATACTTTTCACCTTCCCAGGCTCCCTCCAACTCCTCTCCATGTTCTCCCAACAATGCTCCCTTATTCATAATTCTTTGTTTATTTTTCTGTTTTACACACACACACACACACACACACACACACGCACACGCACACGCACGCGCACACGCACGCGCGCGCGCACGCACGCACATGCACACGCACACCACACACCACACCACACATCCATGCCATTTAGTATTTTCCTTATTTGCACGTGACAGCTGACCCCTCGGGACTGGCCTGCCCCTCTTGCCCTCTCAGGATCTTGCGGAGCCCTGCACTCACCCACACAGGTCCGGCCATCGGGAGCCACCTCGTAGCCCTCATTGCACCTGCACTGGAAGGACCCCACCGTGTTGACGCACTGGCCATTTCTGCAAAGGTTCCCATTTCCAGTTGCACATTCATCAACATCTAAAAAAAAAAAAAAACTTCATTAAGTTCCAAAGAAAATGTCAAAATCCCAGCCCTCATTCTAAACTTTGGTGGCCTCTGTGGACTTAGCCAAACATAAGAAATTACAATGAAGGTTTGGTTTCAGCCGCAGACCCAGCTGCAGGAACCCATCCAAATATGATGAAAAGATTGCATTATCATATTAAAGCTGGTAATTTGCATGATAATTTTGTAGCAGTTTTGCCTAGATCTTGTATATTTTTTGCCTTTTTGCATTTTTTAATTTAAAAAATGTAATTAGTATCCACAGAATTGGGTTTCAACGTGAAATTTTCAAACAGAATTTGTTTTTGTGGATTTTCTACCCCACCAGGGCTCCCCCTAGGCTCCTTTCACCCCCAGACCGTTGGCTTTCATTCCTGATGTGTACTCTGCCTTCCTCATGCTTCCTCAGCCCCTCTGTCCCCCTATTTCTGGTCTCTTTGTTTTAGATTTTATTTTTAAAAGGTAAAACTGATTTACTAGACACATAATTCAGACGAAGCCATACTTTAGTATTGCAATTAGAAGTATTTATAATTAGCCTCTAACTCTAGACAGTATTTGAGTTGCTGTTGTTCCTTAGCATCCCGTCTTTAAATTATTTAGTCTAAACAGTGGGTTTCATTATGCTGGTTTCATGCATATTATCCTTGCACCTTGCTCTCATGCACATTCCTAGTCCCCTTCCCTGTCCTTCCTCCCTCCCACCGGCCCCTTCCTCACCCCAAACCTTCTCACTTCTGTTCATGTCTTATGCATATGTGTTTTCTATAGTGCGTGTACAGAGCTACATCTAGATTCTGCATCTGAGAGAAAATGCCTACCGTGTCTTATAAAGGGAATGTGGTACACTTAGTGCCTTGTTTGTTTGAAGAGAGGCTGCAGAGAAGCAACCAGGCAAGGAGATCCACACCCTTCCGCAACTGTGTGATTTAGAGACCTGCTTTTGCCTATTGTAGCCTAAAGCGTTTATCTTGAAATTTAACTTAAATCGAAGTAGCTACATAGCAGCTGATACACAGTTTAATAAAGGCAATAGGGTTACTAAACATGACTTTTAATTAACACGTTACATTTGACAGTCATGCGACCAACTGTTGAGTAGAAGCTTGCTTACACTGAAGAGCGGCCTGCACCCTGGTCATGATGCAGGCAGATGCACC